TTGTTCTGTATTTGTGGGCTCCTACATCAGCACTTCAAGACAGTATTTCCCCACATCCTCCCACTATTTCCCTTGGTTAGCTTTCAAAATCACAAATCTCCCAAAACACAGAAATTACTACCTGCCAGAAATCAGGAGGAAACACTGAGTAATGAATGAGGAATCAATCAAATTGAAGTTTAAAATTTTAAGTATGTGAGTTACACCACGGTCAAAGCTTCAAAGCTGACTTCAAATATTACTCAGTATCAAAGCTCTATTAAAAAAAATAAGGTAAAAAAAAAAAAAAAGAAACCAAAAGAACTCATTTTTTCCAGGCATACAAAAAAATACCTTCATCAGAAAACCTCACAGGAAAGTAATACTGCTATTGAGAAGTCCTAACCCTGAAGTAGAGGTGGTACTAGGACCCCCACACGATTTTTCCTGCAGGGCAAGAAATCCGTTTCATCATTCCTCAACTCCTGTGACCAGGTAAGACATTGAGATGCAAACGAAGTCGTCTTTGCCTCGTGGGCCAGCAAAGAAGCTGGAATGCGGTTTCTTATCTAGCACTTGGGTGAGGAAATGGTTATTCTGGGAGATCACAAGACCTGAAAACAAAGAGGTGTTTCAGAAGGATTGTGTCACTGCTCCCCAGCCATCTCCCAGGTTTTCAGAACACTTACAGAACCCTATCTGTGTTCCCTCCAAACAAATGCTGCTTCCTTTCCTAACCTAATAATGATGGAAGTAACTTCATTATGGGTGCTCCAGCTGAAGCACAGCTTGAATCTGATATTTCATTTGGGAGAATCCAAAACAAAGATTCTTAAGTAGGTACTTATGAACGAACCTTGTTAATGCCAGAGGGACATTATAAACTCCAGAGCCATATGAGATCTCTAATGAGAAATAGCTAAGTTGTGGAGGTAGGCTGGTTATTTTCATGGAGCTGCAAGGAAGAAGAGAAACTCGTAGTTTTTTGGTAGCCTTTTCAACAGACATGTTCAAATCAATTTAGGTAAAAACATATCTGCAGTTCCTAATACTTTTCTGAACATGCCACTAAGTACTTAAGTGAGGAGCATTTCTTATGGAAATGGAAGTTGCACAGTCAAAGCTTGCTGTGAAATACAGTAATTTGCATTTGGGGCTAGACAACACTTTAAGATGCATCTTGACTGAGATGATTCTGCTGTAGAAGTCCATTCTTAAGCTATACTGTAGTGAGGTTAAATGACAGAAACCAGATTTAAGGCAGAGGACTTAAATCTGGTATAAAAAAACATGTTCACAGTCACAGCTTTTTCAGAGATCGATTGTTTCACAGAATATTCAGAGCTGGAAGGCACCTGCAAGGCTCATCGAGTCCAACTCTTAAGTAAATGGCCCGTGTCATACGGGGTTCCTGTATGGGGTTATTAGCATCATGCTCTAACTAACTGAGCTAATTTCTTGTTATCTCTTGTTTTAAGTAAGCCAGTTCAATATTTTAATTCCATCAATAAAAATCCCGAATTTTGTCTTCATAGTAATACAAAAATCCACGTTTGGCTAAACAAAATGTCCTTCCTTTGCTGTTTAGATAAGATGGCATACAAACAATCACCTTGTTTTTACTACATTAAGGATCATGGCTCACAAGTTACCTTGAGATTGCTGGTCCGTTGCAGCTGCTTGTGCACACAGACTTGTCACAGCTGAGTGTAACATAGCTTATTCTGTTTACATTGCTCAGATGTTTTTCACATATTGCCAGCCTCCTCTAGTTTTGCAAGTCAACTGCCATTGCAAAGGAGCTTAACTTCTCTGATTTCTGGGTCATTTTCTGGCATATGCAGATTGGCTCTCTCCTCTGTGCATTTGTACCAGGACAACAAAGAAGAGCAAGGATTTAAAAATACAAAACAAATTTCAAAATCCTGGACTCTAATAAGTAGAGAAGTTCCAAAGTGGGAGGATTGTGCTGGACACCTGCAATGTGCAGTGGTACATCTCATATTGATGTGATGTGTCCTTGGAGATGAAGCTAAAGTAACTCCTCCAACTGCAGAGGCAACACACTGCTACACTAAGTTCTTGGGACTATTTAGAAATGCATGTCCTCTGTTATCTGGTAACTTGAAAGGCCTGATAGCTACGGGGAAATTGGCAAACTTTCAGCTGCTGCAATGATCAGTTATAAAAAGGTGTTGTTCCTATGTTTTAGAAGAGTGGTATGCCTTTGGCAAAACAGCTAGAGGTTTGCATATACAGACTGCTGTTTTCAGAGCAATTTGGAAAGTTACCCTCCAAAAGGAAGAGATCTAAAGTAATGGGCAAGTGTCTTCTTATTTCAAAGTTTTGATCCTTAGATTACTGCAGACTCTGACTACTGTGAATCACATGGCTAGCTAGGTCTCCTCTGGACTGGATGGTGTGGCTTCAGCTGAGCTTTTAAGCAAAGGAACTAAAGGAGCTCTTGATTTCACCCCTTCTTTCTGCTAACCTGGGAGGTGTGCATTGCTCAGTCCCCACAGAGATGTCTTCACTAGAGCAAAGGCTGCTACAGTTGGTGTGACTGCAGCATGTTGTCACAAGGTTGCAGTTTGATAGAAAATTATTTCTAGAAGCATCTGCCCAGTTACCTGTAACTGCTGCCACGGACCCTCTTCTATGCACTTCAGCGGACCACCATCACCCTGGAATTGCAGTTTGGCTTGTGAACACATCATGATGCACAGGCAGGAGCAGTAGGGACAGTGACAGGGCTATGTCTAATAGCTGCGTAATAACAGCATTTTTGCCTTGGCTGAAATAAATGAACAGCTGCTGCAACATGACTGGCAGCCTGTATGTTGATAACAATATAATACAATTCTCCTAGAGGAAATGTGCATCCAGGAGTTGGAGGTAGTCCTAAGCCAGTTTCTTATCATAGGTTTCTAAGTGGCACTCTTGTGATGACCAAGTTCTGACCATGGCTGTTGCTGTGCAGATTTCCCTTGCATATGCTTATATGGTTCTGCACTTGGGCTCCCAGGCTTCCTTAGAAAATACCTGGGGAATTGATATATCCACACAACAGTTATGACTCAGTGCATGCCTACGTAAACATGCTGAAGGTGAAAGCATTCCTGTCGCCTTCAAGGATTTCAACAAATTCTCAGCTAAGATTTCCTTAGGTACAGCTGTTAAATAAATTTGTACAGTGAACATACCTTCAGAGTAAAAATGGACTTGTGTGTGCATGTGTATGTGTGTGTGCCCATGAACTGAAAATATTCAGTAGGAGAGGTAGCACAGTGGTATCACATGCTAACTGACTGTATGATAACTTCCCCATAGAGAGGACGTCATACCATCCAGAAGAACATCAGTTTGTCTTGGTGCATCTTAGGATGCATTACAGAGCAGCAGACATGTGACTTATGGTGCAAGACCTTCTGCAACTTAGACCTTACCTCCTGTCATGCCAGCTAAACATCTTGTCCTTTTAGAAAAGAATTCCTTGTCCCTAGTTCATTGATAATGTACCTGTAGCCTCTCAATGCTCATTTGAAACTGTATACAATTGCAGAAACAAAGCTAACCTAAATAGTACTGAGAAATCTTAGACAACAGAAGATGTCAGCAAAAAACTAAGTAAAAAATTTGAAATGCCACAGATCTCAAAAAAACCCAAATCAAAACAAAAAACAACCACACAAAAAAAAAACCCTAAAAAAACATAATTATGAGTTAATCAAACTACATGAAGTTCATCTAACTCTCCTGGGGTATTTAAATGTGTATTGATTACGCAGTAAAAAATTTCATGGTGGAAAGATACTAACAAAAGGGAGACTTGTACAAGTACTTTGAAAAGACAAGACAAAGCCCTCCAACATATCTTTATGTATTTGGCTTTGTGGCGCTTCCTTGGCCCAAACACTGCTACTGAGATAATCTGGCAAAGGAAATGTATTGCTTGTTTTAGGAACACAGCTCTGTGTATTGAGACATCAGAAAAGGCAGAAGCTCATATCATATGTTTTTTTGCTGTTGTGCAACAGCCTACAAACCCTGTTTCTTTCTCTAAATACGTGCCCTCAAGTTTGTAAGCTAAAGCCATCAGCAATGCTGGCTTTACAAGAGCTCAAGGATGAACCTCACATAGCTCTTGCAGTTATTCTACTACTAGAGACTGTTAAACATCAAAACTTGTTTACTACTGCTTACTGCAATGCTGCGTATTGCTACAAGTTCATGTGTAACCCTTTTAATATCTCACCAGTGCTCTTGGTGTCATAGTGTTTTCCAGCAGGCATTAGTGGACGCTATGCACACAAGCATTAGCCACATGGCAAAATACTTCTTACGGACCTTGGATCCAGAGGCAGGGGAAAAAAAAAAGAAAAAAAAAAGAAAAAGGAAAAAAAAAAAAAAAAAAAAAAAAAAAAAGAAGAGCAGTTTTCAGATATTAAATCACGGGGGAATAAAAAGGACTTTCCTGGAAATGTTTCTGTTACCAGTGCCAAGCCACTGGGACCGTGCCCTCACCCCTGCGGGGTGCCATCCTCAGGGAAATGGCCCTGCCTGCCGCGTTGCCCAAGGCCTGCGGTGCAGCTGCAGGGGCAGCAGCTCTGCCAGGGAGGAGGAGGGGGCTCGGCTGCCGGAGGAACCGAGGGCCAGGGACAACCGGGGCAGCATGGGAGCCGCCTCGCCAGCCTTCCCCCAGCAGAAGCCATTACCGGGAGCATGGGGACGGGGCTGGGGCTGCCAGCATCCACCATTCGTGTCTCTTTGCCTCCAGACTTTGTTTTTCCTTGGCTCTGGCAGCTGCCCGCTTTAAGTTCCCCAGGGTTAAATTCCAGCAGGCTTAGCGTGCTGCCACTATCTCCGGTCCGACAGCGCTCGGAATAAATACTTAGACAAACACTGCCCAAAGTAGCGGCCCTGGCGCTGCGGGATGGCACCGGGGCTGCCACGCACGGCCCGCCGGAGCCCCCGGGGCGCTGTGGGGGGAGCCCCGGCCGCCCCCGCCCCCGCCCCGGACCCGGCGGGAGGCGCGGCCCGGCGCGGCCTGGCCGCCAATGGGCGCGGCGGGGCGGGCACGGCCGCGGTGGGGATAAGAGGGGCCGCGGAGACCGGGCGTCGTCGGGTCGGGCAGTCGGTAGAGTAGTGGACATTGTTGAACAAGGTGAGACGGGGCTGCGAGAAGGGGGAGGGGCGCGTAGGGGGCTGGCCTCGGCTGTGTCCTTGTCTCGGCTGTGTCCTTGTTTCGGGGTGGGGGCCTTGTCCTGCCGGGAAGGGGCCGCCATTCCAGCCGCCTCCCCGGGAGGCTGCCGGCTCCCCGCCCCGCATCGCGGCCCCGCCGCCCGAGCTTGTTTACAGCCGCGGCGCGGGGCGCGGGTGCTCGGCCCCGCCGACCGGGTGGTGGGGGCGCGGTGCGGCCGCAGATCCGGGCACCCCGTCCGTGCTCGGGGCTGCAGAGCTCAGAGAGCTCTGGCTGACCGACCTTCCTCCGTCCCCGGCAGATCTACCAGCATGAACCCGTTCCTGACCGCGCTCGGCCTCTGCTTGGGCCTGGCTCTCGGTGCGCCGAGGCTGGACCCCGATCTGGACGGGCACTGGCAGCTGTGGAAGTCGTGGCACAACAAGGACTACCACGAGGTGAGCCCCGGGGCTTGTCTCGGCTGGCCATTGCCGAACGCACGCAGCTGGACTCGCCAGCTGAGTCATGTCTGCTTTGTTGCGGCACCGGCTGCGGGCTGCGCGTGGGAAGGACAGTCCCCCTCTTCCCAGGTCCCTTCCCTGTGCTTGTGCATCGACTCAGCTGCACTGTACTCCTTGTTTTTGTTACGAGTGCGGCAAAAAGGCCACCTCTTAAATAGCGTTCAGGCTTCCCATTCGAGTAGTCTACATTTGCCCGAGTATGGGAGCCTTAACAAAGCTCGTTGTCATAGAAGTGACCTTTTTTTAAACTGCCTCTCTGAACTATGATGGTTTTTTGCCCCTCAGAGAGAGGAAGGCTGGAGGAGAGTGGTGTGGGAGAAGAATCTGAAAATGATTGAACTCCATAATCTGGATCACACATTAGGAAAACACAGCTACAAGCTGGGAATGAATCAGTTTGGTGACATGGTATGTATAGAGGCATGAAATGTAATTGTTCTAAATAGTGATGTGTAATAGGTGGTGAATGCATATATTGAATTGTTTTTCAGACAACTGAGGAGTTCAGACAGCTGATGAATGGTTATATACACAAGAAGACAGAAAAAAGGTACAGAGGATCCCTGTTTCTTGAGCCCAACTTCCTTGAAGTACCACGATCAGTAGACTGGCGAGAGAAGGGATATGTAACTCCAGTTAAAGACCAGGTACTATCCGTTGGTGGATTTCTAAACAGTTACAGGTCGAGTTTCCTGAATGCTACATCCACTTCCATAGAGGAAAAACACTGTCTACCTGTTTAATGAAGCCTAGTACAAGCTTACTAGATTAAGTACCACTTTGTTGAAACTGCTGTACCTCTTTAAGACATCTTAGGACTTCTGTACTAAATGTCTCACAACTCAGCAGTATCTTCACTTGTACATGTTAGGAGTGTGCAAGCAAATTTCTTTCTTTTTTTTGTCTTTCTTGCTTAGATAAGTGATAAGAGAAATGTAATTGCCTAGTTTGTCTGGGTTTGCAACTTGTGATTTCACTTTATACTTCAGGGTCAGTGTGGCTCTTGCTGGGCTTTCAGCACAACAGGAGCTCTTGAAGGGCAGCACTTCAGAAAAACTGGCAAACTTGTTTCACTGAGCGAGCAGAATCTGGTGGACTGTTCTCGCCCTGAAGGGAATCAAGGCTGCAATGGTGGTCTCATGGACCAGGCTTTCCAGTATGTGCAGGATAATGGGGGCATTGATTCTGAGGAATCGTACCCATACACTGCAAAGGTAAGTGTAATAGCTGAACTTCTATTGCAAGTCTTGTCTGTCATGTCTTTCGCGTGGAGAAACTGTGTTGGAAAACTCATACTTAGAAAGGAAAATGGTTTTATAGTGATCAGTAAATCTGTTCTTCCTGTTGCATCTTTGCTAAGATAACTTAGCGCAACTGCTAGCCTCAGTAGGAATCACATACTGTGCTGGTCTTTGTGGTCAAAATCTAGCCAGACCAGTTAGAAAAACTGGAGCAAATATTTTTATTCCTCCCCCTCATTGTTGCCCTCCTATCAGACATCATGCCTTATCTTGGTTGCCACACCAAACCAGGAACCCAGCCCTTCTCAGTGGTGCTACTTAGTTGTAGGAAAACAAATTTTTTTTCCCATAGTTGACCTATTACAGAGTTGATACCTATAGATCACCTAATTCTTGTTGCTAGTGTCATTTTTTTTGTAACAGTTGTTGGCAATGCTTTAAGTTCTTCTGGACTAAGTGCACATAAATGAAGGTAATGGACAGACTTTTAAAATATCTCTAGTGATTCATCAAATATTAAACTGATATAAGAGGAGGAAAGAGCAGTAGTAAATCAGGGTATCACTTGAGAGCCCATGGTTTGGCTTTTTTGCCACTTAGGAGTTATGTTCACAATAGAGGATATATTCTTGTAGCTTCTTTTGTGCTGTCTGAATGGGCAATAGCAATGCCATTTGTTGTGAACAACACAGAAGCCTTTGGATTGGGTTTCCTGTTCATCTGTGTCCTGAAATCTCAACTTTTCCTAATCTTAGCTATTCTAGAGATTATAGTTCATTATAGAAAATTCCTGAATTGCTGAGTACAAAAAGCAAGCAACTGAGCTGTACTCTGTTCCTCTAGTTGGAGAAAGAATTTTAGTACTCTACAATGCAGGTAAGGGAGGGATGTGCTTGCTTCAATCGGTTTCAGTTTCACATGACCTGACTTCCAAACTAGGCCTCGCCTCTCTCCTGAGGTAAATGCGTTTGGCACCAACAGTTCAGGTTTACTGTAAAACCAAACAAACAAAAAAAAAAAGGCAATGTGAAGAAGCACAAAATACACAAATGTGTTTTTGGTATGTAAGGTCATGTAATTCAAATTACTAGCATTTGAATCATTCTGTACATTATTTCAAACTCTGATAGCATAAAATTGTCGATTTTACTGCTTGCTCAACAAGCAGTAATGGGATTGCTTTGTAATTAATGAATACTTGGCTCTCTTCCATTGGCCATTAGTGCATTCTGGGCTTCTTTCCTCCCTGGAAAGATATGTCCTGCCCACCAAAGAGGGCGGAGTTCCTGAATATTATGGTTCTTTGCATCCCAGTAAAACTTTTTTTTTTTTTCTGGAGGTGGAGGGGGGCTCTGCTGTCCTTTATTTTTCTGTACTTTTGAGAAACTCAGAAGCAGCTTCTGTATCCCCCCTCTGTTTTCCTTTGAAAGCACTGCTGAAGCAATTGGATCCTTTTCAGTCCCATGTTTTCAAGGTAGGAAAGTCTCAGAATGCCTGATAGTTCTGTGCTCACCTGTGTGTTAAGTGAAGAACTGGTAATACCTACATCTTTTTCTATTTAGGATGATGAAGACTGTCGCTACAAGGCAGAATACAATGCTGCTAATGACACTGGCTTTGTTGACATCCCTCAAGGACACGAAAGAGCTCTCATGAAAGCAGTTGCAGCTGTGGGTCCAGTGTCTGTTGCTATTGATGCAGGCCATACTTCATTCCAGTTCTATCAGTCAGGTGAGGATTTAATAACTTGCATTTCTCTTACATATGTGTGTACTTGTCCCTCAGTTTCTGCCATGATACACTTAGGACTCCTTGCTCTAACTTTCAAGAGGCTGTGCAACATTTAATTGGATATATGCAAAGCTTCTGGTGAGAGCAAAGGGTTTTCTGCTAATGAGCTTGTTCACATGTGAACTTATACCTTCACAGGTATCTACTATGAACCAGATTGCAGCAGTGAAGACTTGGACCATGGTGTTCTGGTTGTAGGTTATGGCTTTGAGGGGGAAGATGTAGATGGGAAGAAATACTGGATTGTTAAGAACAGGTAAGATCTGTCTGTCATGTACCCAGGAGAGAAGGGGAAGGTAGTTTGTGGTAAGATCTGTCTGTCATGTACCCAGGAGAGAAGGGGAAGGTAGTTTGTCACGTGTAGTCTCCCTACTTCCCCCCCTTACAACAGTTAAAATCTATGTGTGGGAAATCTGGAGACTGTTTTCAGATTGTATTCCATAACAAAGGTTAAATCCAACTCGTGCTGATGGCAGCCTAATAAAGTAAGCCCAAAGCAGCAAATTCAGTCTTCTGCTTTTTCAGTTAACTCTACTCAGTTCTGAAACAACCTGTGCAGCTTGTAGATATTAAAGGAGTGGGGCAGAGGGGAGCAGGAGGAAACCATGTTGTGGGGGTGTAATGGATTTTTTTTTTTTTTTAAAGCAGAATGCTTTTTACTTGTCTGAAATAATAGGGCAACACCTGAACTTGATTACCTCCTAAGTTGGGTAAAACAATAAAGTAATGCCAAAGGGCACATCACATGAGCTTGTCTCTTTCTCAGCATTACTGGGGCACACCCTCAAATGTTGCTTGCAGTCTGACTTCCCTTAAAGTTGGCTGGGAGCAGTGACTGAGCTTCAGGTACCTGTAAGCAAAATTTGTACGTCAGTGTGACTACCTAGAGAGAGGATGGCTGCATCCTTAATTTCTGTGAGCTTGAGGTGCCTCTTCTCTGACATGCATTTAATTGCTGGAAAGCACTTTAGGTTTTGGCTGCAGCTATCTGGATTTTTCTCCACAAGTGTGGAAGGCAGCAGTTTTCAGCTTAAACACTGGAACAGTAAATAAGTATCTTCTGAATATGTAACCAATATGTAACCCTTTGCTTCTGTTTTTAGCTGGGGTGAGAAGTGGGGTGACAAAGGATATATCTACATGGCCAAGGACAGGAAGAACCACTGCGGAATAGCAACAGCTGCTAGCTATCCACTTGTATAATTTGAAGACTGAACATTTCAGTACAAGAGGGGATTTAAACTGAATGACCAAACCCATGTTCACACATGTGGTAGACTTGTGTCTTTCAAAACTTAACTTGATTTTTTAACTTTTTGAAGTATATTTTACATGTTGGTGACATGCCACTTGTTTTAAATTAATGTAAATGTTGGTATGTAAACAGCTTGTAATATTGCTAGCTTTTGACTGCTTAATCAAATAGATTCTTTGTATTTTTCCTTTTTTTTTTTTTTTTTTGCAATGTGCCCAAAGGTTTACTTTTTCAATAAATACTTAAATTCCACTGTGTACAGATGACTTGGCTTTTTAGTCTCTTTTTTCCACTTGGGAACAAGCATCCTAAATCATATTCTGATCTGAAGCCTGTATATGTGTCTTTCTTCATCCATCACTAAAATGCAGTACTATCTGGGAACGGCTCATAGCTGCTATAAAAAGGAGTGTTGTATTTATTACTTACTATTTTTCCACTTCCCATTTTAAATAATCTGTATCTCTCTGGTCCTTTGTGTTTCATAACAAAGATCTTTAGTCTTGTCATCTTCTGCATGCAGCATCTGATCTTCACTTAGCTCTTCATTCTGTCGGTGTTTTCTTAATGGCACCTCAAAGTACCTCACTGCTATAGTTTGAGTGGCTGTATCCTTTTGAGCATTATAGGATAGAGCAGGAACACACAAAGCACACTTGGAGTGTTCAAAGAGCTTGTTTCTTAAAGGATGCAGGACACTACTGTCTTCCCACCTCTACCAGCTTCAGCTGGATAAAGAAGGGATGTGGGGGAGAAATTATGTCCCTGAGGAAAGTCAAGATGGGCCCCTCTGTTTAATTCCTGTATATATGTTGGCTGACTTAACTGAAGTATCTTATGCTGTGCCCTGTACATCCTTTTCTCCTCTGCAGGTTTTTCTCTGCTGCTGAAACATAAGTACCAGCTGTTATATACTACTGCTACATAGGTTTTGGGTTCCAGTGGTTTCAGCAAAGGATGGTGAATTGCTAATACCAAAAACAGCAGAGAGGGAAAGAAATTGGTTTTTGGGTGCAGGCATCCCCTCTTGCTTTTGGGCTGTGGGCAAACAAGGCAGGTTCTGCAGTGTAACTAGCACCAGTTCTAAGTTTATGGGCCAGTAGGTTTTTATGTACAGTATCTCTTCAGAATCTGATAGCCATGCAGACAAACACAAGTTGTGGAAGATGAATTTCCTTATTGTAGGTATTATAAGTCTTAAGGTTGCATTTAATAAACTTCTTTTTAAAGAGAAAAACAAGATGAGTTATCCATAACAATTATAATTGTGAGTATGTTCATATGCTGCTTATAGGTGAATTATTTCAACCTGAATTTCCCTACAAGTTTGGTTTTGTTTTTTAAGAGCCTCGCTCAGCCTGGTAGCTATTTAACAAGCCACAGAGCAGAAATACTGGTTAGAATGTAGCTATTAAGCTGACTTGCTAAGCCTGTTATGAGGAGCATCCACACTGCTTGGGGAAGCTATGGAGGAAATTAATGTGGAGCTCAACAGGTGGTCCTCTAAAGGCTGATATTCAGAAGAAACCAGCAATGGTCTGTATGTTCAGGATGGGAGGCAGGAGAAAAAAATGGCAGAAAATGCTGCCAGAGAAGTGACTGCAGACCTGAACTCTGAACCCTGAAGAACAGGGTTGTGTTCTTGCTGCCCCGGAATGGGAGAGAGACAGACCTGTTTTCTGCATTAAATGAAGCAAGGGTGAGACCACAATAGAACAGTATATACTGTTCCCGGGGCTTGGACTTGAGGTCCTGAAAAAAGTGGGCAGCAGGAAAGGTGTTTGGTTACAAAAGCCAAGGTTAAAAAAAGCTGCTGGGAAAACAAGATATTTTTATAAATAGATGGGAAATGAAAAGGAAACAACTTTCCAAAGCACGTGCACATGAATGGGCATGTAGCTCACAAAAGAGGCATCGGCCTCTGACTTTTTTAGAAAAAAAAAAATCTGATAATGCATTTGTTTGCATGGATTAAAACTTGCTGACTATTCTGGCTGAATATCCTCTCCTGAGTGCAATAATCAAGAAAGGGACAGGGTAAGTCAGGTCATGTAGATCGCTTAATATTTACACAGTCTTCTTAAATAACAGCTTCACCCTGAATTGCCTTACTTGACACTGTAAACAATAAAATTCTATATAAGTTGCAGTTAAGCACACTGGCAGAAATTTAAAACCTGTTACATTTGAAGAACGACCTTAAGTTTGGTTTTGTGATTTCATTGCCGTGGCCCTATCTTCTGTAAAGACGTTTCATTTACTTCACATGTACTGTTATAAAGTAGCAAATTATCCCATAGTCCTATATGTCCTCTTAGGGAAAGTGTCATCTCTCTTTTAAAGTTGTTCCTTTCTGAAAATACAGCAAATGCTTGTTACTGTGTGGACATAGAGAGCTTCTGAGTTCTTCCCAGAAAGCTATGGGTAATTAAAGCTTTTGATTACTGTTCTAGTATTTTTTTCCAAGGTATTGTTCAGTTTTTATATTCCTATTAATACCTGAAGTTGTATTTATTAAAAGATGTATTATTTTTAAAGACATTAGTGCACATGTGTTATCAGAAAAAATCCTTTCTCTACTGCCCTGTTTGGGCCCTGTGTAAATTACAGCTACTTGTTGTTAGTGGGGTCTTAATGCCTATCTAAATATGGGAGCTGAGCGCTATGTTACATGCATGGCAGATGGCAGTTCTGTACAGTGATAAAACTCTGCAGTCATTGTTTTCTAGCATTTTAATTGTGCAAATGAGCAGTTTTATTTAAATGTGGGAAGAAAAAAAGTTTTGCATTTTGTTTCCATGTGCTGATGCTTCTTAGACTGTTTTTGTCCTAAAGTTCTCTTAGCAGTTTTGACGATCTGACTTGAATGTATTCGCAGTTTTTAAAAACTGTGCTCTTGAGGTAAGGAAAGCCCTGAAATTAAATTAACTCACACATGAAGTTCTTTGAACTATGGTGAGACATGAATTTTACTATTATATAGGAAACTCTTTTCGCTTAAAAGCAGTCAATTTCTCATCCTATCTATGACTGCTAAGTAGAATGGAATTCTGGTGGGTTTTTTAATGTTTATTGGTTTTCATCTTTGCTAATGTTAAATCAATTTCCATACATTAAGCGAGGAACAAATAAGTTTATTATTCTACTGCACAATCCATGCAGCAAAGTAATTTTCAAAATAGTTTGAAGGACTATGGTGACAAAATATTTGTCATTTCACACTGTGAAAACCTTACAAGGAGGGCAAATGTGATAAATTGTATCGGTGAAAATTTACTGTAGTGAATGATTAACTGGTGATCTGCATAGCAGCACTTGAAAATGGGAATACCCACTTCAAAAAAACAACATAAATACTAACTTCTGAACATCAGTTATGCAGTGTTTTCTCTTTAATTAATCTCCTTGATCAGATTAAAAATCCTGTCATGTATCTCTTAAGCTTAATGCCAATTAACCAGTTTTTACATATTAGAGATTGACTGTAGTTTCTGGCTATTAACCAAGGAATTGAGCATACCCTGATGGCTGTCATAATGTAAACTGGTGCTTCTGCTGTTTAGCGCCTTCTGGACTTTATCAAGGTATATGACAGACTGAAAGGCTAATCGCGGTCTGTCCAATACCCTTTAGTCTTTTTGTTGAAAATTCATAGCAGGAAATGTTGACTTAACTAAAACACTCTTTTGAAGAAATAATTGTTTAGATCACTGATGGGGCTGTTTTTCTCTCATTCTCTAAACACAGCTTTATTGAATCAGTACTAAAATTTCAGATAAGCACAGGGGCACCTAAAGCATTTGGAAGAACACAGACACAAAACTTCATCCACAATTCACAAAACTGAACCTAGGTGATACTCAGTAAGGCTCATCTGAAAACAGACAGGGAGCTCAGTCTGAAACTTCGTGTTGGAGAGGAGGAGAGTAGATCACATGATGGAGATCTGATCCGTGGATTGATTAGTTTAGATAGATTAGGATCCTCAGAAGAAACCACCTTTACTTGTGTTTGCATAGAACTTGATTGCTTTATTTTTTTTCCAAGCTGATTTGCATGAAGATTTGTTTTCCAGTGCTTTAAAATAGGATTTCTACAACAGGTTTTGTTTCCACCATGCCTGTTATTTGCAGTAGAGCTGTTGCCAACCTTTGGGCATAAAGGAGCAAAGAAACCACGAATATAGGCATTTGTAAAACACTTACTGGGTTCTTTCTTACAATGCTTCTTCCTTGTTTTGGTCACTAACAGTTCTGGTCACCTCCAGGAGATCCGAAACCTACTTCTGAGTGAAACCTGTTGCCTTTCCCAACAAAGTGTTGCTGGGAAATGTATTGTAAAAGTAACAATGTGAGTTACTAGGTGTGGTGCTGCAGCTCTGATACCTGGTACCTTCTGTAGCCCTGGTTTGGGAAGAAGTGGTCAAAGATGGAGTAAGATCAGAGGGTGAGCTACTCCACTCCCCATCCACCTTCCGAAGGCTACTCTGGGTAAGGGTGGCTTTGTGAGGGCCTCCAGGTAAAGCTTGTGGTTAGCCTGAGATCTGAGCAAGAAAGAGATGATTTTCCAGCCTGGTAAGGGTGGTTCATATGCTTAGTAACACTTTGGACATTCATCTGGAATTAACTTCGTCTTTCCAAGTTCTTTGTCTATGTTAATGTGTGTTTCCCCCAGGTGAAAATGGTTCAGCTGTCCTCTCCTGGAGTTCCACCGAGGGCCCTCTAAAGCTGTTACAGCTATTACTTTATGCATCTATTAGGGAAAATTGCAGTCTCAGGAACCAATATAGAAATAGTCTAATAAGTAAGTTGAT